ATCAGATCCATCGGATCCATCGGATCCATCAGATCCATCGGATCCATCAGATCCATCGGATCCATCGGATCCATCAGATCCATCGGATCCATCAGATCCATCGGATCCATCAGATCCATCAGATCCATCGGATCCATCAGATCCATCAGATCCATCGGATCCATCAGATCCATCGGATCCATCAGATCCATCAGATCCATCAGATCCATCGGATCCATCGGATCCATCGGATCCATTTTTTTTTTAGTAACTTATAAGTTCAGTGTTTTGGGATTTGAACCCACAAACCAAGTAGTACTGTGGACGGTGGTCTGTAAACATTGACACAACTGCTTGTTCCGCATGCATAAATTTTTAACTAGTTTTTGGGATTGGATTTATTCAAATTTGAGGTGATTTTGAACACATATCACGGGCAATAGGACAGGTGTAGCGTTGTTGAATAGAAAGTTAGAAATGGTATTATACTTACTCGTGCATTATAATTATGTTTAAAAGATCAGAATATTCATAACTTCTTATTTTGTTTCATAAATAGTTCTTTAATATTCGAAACAAATTCCATATCTGCTTCGTCTGCCATCGCCATGTTTACTCGTCCCAATTTACATGCTGGACGGCATTGCCGCCCCTCCTGGCAATCGCTTGCTTATTATTTTGCCAGGAGGGGCGGCAATGCCGTGTAGCATGTAGATTGGGAAGAGTAAACATGGCGATGGCAGACGAGAAGCAGATATGGAATTTGTTTCGAATATTAATTAAAGAACTATTTATGAAACAAAATAAGAAGTTATGAATATTCTGATCTTTTAAACATAATTATAATGCACGAGTAAGTATAATACCATTTCTAACTTTCTATTTAAAAACACTACAACTGTCCTATTGCCCGTGAGTAAAATATTGTTCGTTTATACATTGTTCTAGTTTCTATAGCTTTTTATTTGTCTTATCAGTTGAAATATATGTTGCGATTGTTTACGAAATATATTGAATTATTTGTGAATTGTTCGTTCATTTTATGCATGACGAATCCCGAAATTTATAGTTTGATGGTCACAACAAATTTGAGCATAAAAATGTTAAAATTGTACACCCAAAACACTAGGTATTATATTCGAAATCACTGGAACACGACTAGTTTTAAATATGCTTGAACTGAATTTCATACATGCATGATTTCAAAAGTTTTTAAACAGATAACCGATCAGAACTTTTGAAATACTGCATGTATGAAATTCAGTTCAAGCATATTTAAAACTAGTCGTGTTCCAGTGATTTCGAATATAATACCTAGTCTTTCAGTGTACAATTTTAACATTTTTATGCTCAAATTTGTTGTGACCATCAAACTATAAATTTCGGGTTTCGTCATGCATAAAATGAACCATGGATAATAAAATAAATGGATAGGAAACTAGCTGACGTGACCTAATGTTTTCAATGGGCTGATGGCGTGATTGGATGTTGAAACCACAGAGTCACAGAGTAGAGACATACAGAGACGTAACTAGTGTACCCACTTTTTCTGTGCGCATGCTCGGCAAGTTACTAGATGCATGCATCTGATTGGATGACGACCTGATGACGACTCACTTTAAACTTGCTGAGCACGCGCAGTTGGTCATTTTTCGCCTGGTCGCCTGAAAAAAAGTGGGTACATGATAACGTAATCTTCCGCAGTGTTTACAACTGTCAGTTACGTCTCTGTATGTCTTATCTACTCTGTGACAGAGTAGAGACATATGTCTTATCTACTCTGTGTTGAAACCTAGTTGCAAACCAAATTCTCAAAAACGGCATGTTTAGCAATAATACAGCTAAACATTTTAGTCAAAGAACAAATGAGTATAACTACGCCATTCTACGATGAAATCTCTAAGTATTCCCAGTCAATTTTAGCAAATATTTCAAGCACTAAACAGTGAAAAAGGCATCCCAAATTTCGTTAAAATCGGGGACGCCAATTTCGTAGCTACAAATGTAAAAAAATACAAAACAAAGACGAAAAACATTTACCTTGAATACTTTGTCGTGGCTTAGGCATGTTTTTGAAATAAACCGATCGGTTTATTCTTCAATATTGCTCTTTTAAGGCGGAAAATATAGCGAAACAACAAAAATGCAGAGAACTTTGCAATACGCGTGAAGTCACAGATTGCAACTAGGTTGTTTTGCTTACGTCAGCGAGAGTCCTATCCATTTATTTTATTATCCATGAATGAACGAACAATTCACAAATAATTCAATATATTTCGTAAACAATCACAACATATATTTCAACTGATAAGACAAATAAAAAGCTATAGAAACTAGAACAATGTATAAACGAACAATATTTTACTCATATCATAATGAGTAACATACCAATATGTGTTCAAAATCACCTCAAATGTGAATAAATCCAATCCCAAAAACTAGTTAAAAATTTATGCATGGGGAACAAGCAGTTCTGCCAATGTTTACAGACCTTACTGAAGAAACTAACATGTGCAATATAAATCTGTATTTCTAGACCATTATTACTTGTTGAAAAACAAAATCTCAAGACTTTGATTTTTTTCATAAAAGTTACACACAACTGACGTTGCGCAAGACGAAAAACGACATATGCATTAACCCCAAATTTTATTTCATTAAAGTCTTTTAGTATACTCAATTTCAGCCATTCTGTTCCAATTTATCGAGTAGAAGAAAGAGTAGAAGGCCTGCCGTATCTATCATATTGAATGCATATTACAAACATGGAATGGGAAATTATTGGTTTTTTAGGTTAACTTAGTCAACCCTGTCAAAGCCATGATTTCAGTAGAGTTTTTGACGAAAACACTCACTTAGTACTAATCAAACTTCTAATGTTCATGGTAGTATCCATATTGTCACAAAAGATACTCAAACCCGGTGAGTGGCAAAATTATACTTTGGTTAAATTTCTCGATTTAGTTCAATTTCAGCACATATAAATGCTGGGAAATTCCGTCACCACGTTTGGGTTTACCGTAAAATTGTGGCAAAAATAATCTTTTCGCTTTTGCTCAAAAGGCGAGTGTATTTAACTGATTTTCGATAAGGTTGATGGTTTTTTTAAAAACCTTGTATTTCGTATCTAATATAATACCTCAGGCTTCTGTGGACACAACCATATGCGTAGGCATAAAATGTGACCCAAAGGTCATTTTGAATTTGAATTAATATTTTGACTTTAAATATTCTTTTTGAATTGTCATGTAATCGAGTATTCTGAGAAAAATCATTTTATGAAATAAAATTTGAGCCAGAATGAGTTTCAATTTCTATCAATTGTTATTAAACTTTTACTCGAACTTTAAATTGTCTTGTAATTGAGTATATACAAAGATAAATCATTTTATGAAATAAAGTTTAGGGCCAACATACTCTTCGGACATCATTGTTGCCAAACCCTTGAGATACTATTTTTCAAAAAGTAACAATTGCCCAAAAATACAGATCTTAATTACAAATTTTCCAACCCAATCTTCCACAGTACTATTCAGCCCCGACCACGGACACTGCTTTTTTATTATTTTCCCCGAAGTTATTAAGGCCTGCGAAAAAAACTTCGTGCGCACACCCTATTTATACGTATTAGTTATTCCTTTAGAATTGCTACACATCGTGTGGGTACAGATTGTACGCAACCCTAGCATAGCAACTTATTAACATAATGTACGTTCAATTTTGAACGAAAATGCTGAATGCAAACTTCCGACGACGCTATTATGACCGTACGTCGCTGAGCTTGCTCTACAGAGTGTTTTCATGGCGACAATGTTCAGGAACAAATCTGGATCGAAATTAATACACATTTCTTTTTTTTAAAAGCGAGTTTGCTCCTTAACAAACCACATAAAAACACTCTAACCCTGGCGGTCTTTTCATTAGAAATAATGCCGTATTTACACTTAATGCGCTTGTAAATTGTCGTTACAACTTGAATCTAAAGGCATTTGCCAGAAACGCACAATTCAAATTGCAAAATTGTCAATTTTTTGTTTTCGCAATTTTGTGAATTATTATAAAGTATTTTACGTTTCATGTGAGTGTCGTATATTGCGCAGTTTGGACGCTTCTAAACTGTCTAACTCCCTAACTATTTTGCGCACGCGACGGACCATATTATCCGCATGCAACCGCCCTGAAAAGGAATATCCCCGAAGATATTGAGCCGGAATAACCGCCATAAGAGAGGGGACCTAGTCACTGGTAGCGGACTATTTTTTCATGAAGTAAGACCGGCTACCAGGAAAATACATGCTTTACCTTACTACGGGAGAGAAAATGTTTAAAAAAACTTTGCCGCCATAATTGTCTTATTCTCGCCGATCCAAACGACCAACGTGATTTCCACCAAGTCTTCTTACGGGTACCATTTGCACCCTCTAAGCTATGGGTACCATTTGTACCCCCTAACCCCAAGACAAACGATGCCAGTTTTTTGAAAAAAAGGTTTAGGCCCCGTTTACATGAGACCGGGACGAAAATCACAAAATTTTCAACTTATTTCCCTTGCCAGGGCAATTTTCTTTTTCAGATGGCTTTTGTTAGCATGTGTTGTTCCAATGTCAAGTTTACAGCCGAGACCGGTCTGAAATGTATTTCTGTTTACATTCATCCCCGTCTGAATTCATGCTGGTCTGAAGTCAGTCGGTTCGGTTCAGCAGCCGGAATGACTTGAGACCGGTCTGAGTTATTTTCGTCCCGGTCTCATGTAAACATCTATTATAAATAATACTGTGACAGAAACGAAATGGTCCCGGTTTGACTTCGTTCCGGTCTCATGTAAACAGGGCCTTAGATGAGGAAAGTGACAAATTTCTTTTTCACTAACAAGCGACAAGATATTACAAAGAATCAAACAGCAATTTCCAATCGTCGTTCTATTTCGAAAGACAAAACTCTGGCAAAGCTTTTCTTGTACACATCCTGCCTCATGACCCTGTCTAAACTGTTGCGTTGCTGCACTTATTATGCGTGTGCACAAAGGCAGTATATATAGAATATATATAGAACCATGCAATAACCATACACTCAAATGTTCCTTTTTTTTTCAGATCGGTTATCAAATTCAGAAGCTGACGAATTTCGAAAGTACAGTTTTTGCAGAGAAAATCATCGTTATAAACTTTCTTTCAAGCTATCAAAGTCTACTGAACAGAAAATAGATCGAATTTGTAAATATACTGAACATTTAGACCGCCAGGATTTATGCCGGATTTCATTGTACCCAGAACAACAAAAAAAAAAACAATGGCCTGGATACAAGTATCTACAGCCTGTTCGCAGGCAAACAAGAAAGAACAGTACCTGAAAATAGACATTTCTGTGACCTTTGTATGTCCATCAACTGAATATCATTACGGGGCCATATTTATCCATCATAGTTTCTTTGTATCCATTTATTATAGTCACAAATATCCACTGCTGGTCATGAACATTTATCAATCCTTTCATTTCATCCGAGAACTACTGTCTTTGGTGTATTGTTGTAATTTGATTAGAAATAGAGGTATTCCCTCATGTATTGCTCTTCGAGGCATGTCATCTTGGTAACATGATATTTTATAAAACAATATTTCATCAGCACGTTCAAGTAATGATCTGTAAAACAAAGCAAAAAAAATATTAAAAAATTCAGATATAAAACTTAAACCATTTTGCTACAAAAAACAAATTTAACCATTAGGTTGTACTGTGCCCTGATGCATGCTCTACTTGAGTATTTTACTGTCCAACGCTAGACGATTTTATGCTTCATAATGAGACTGCCCATGTGTCTAGTTACCCATTAATTAACTGCCAGTGTACCCCCTGCTTAATAAAATTGTATGACGTTAGACAGAGTTAAATAATAAAAGTTGGAAAATTAGAGTGCAAATCAACTTAATGGCTAAATGTGCTGTTTACATGATCCCAGTTTGTCAGGACAGGATGAAAGGTGGGATGATTTTCATGCACTGAAATAAGTCACTAGGCTTGAACAAAAAAGTTGTAAACAACTCTGCATAATCTCAGATAAAATTTTCCAAGGATACACTTAATTGTCTTTGCACACATTGTTGGTGTATAGTTATTTGTCAAGCCAGCCAGATAGTTGAATTGCTGTTCTCTAAGATAAATAGGATTAACTCCTTAAGCTGCAAAGGAACTCAAATGTCTGATATCAGATCATTTTACTCATCAAGAGGAAACGGTCTTGTGCATCAGATGGTCCCATGCAAGATGCTTACAACTTGAGTTGCACTGTGCAAATCAAGCACACAACCTCCCTATTTTTTCGCAGGTGAGTGTAAATTGGTCTGGAGGTGGTTCCCTACTAGGGTTTTATCCCCCCCCCCCCGGGGTTATGTTCTTCGTATATATATATATATATATAAACGATGGAGTTCTCCGAGAGTAATATCACATACGTACCCTTTTCTAGATATATGCAAAATTAAAAGCAAAGATTAACATACGATAGCATAATATGTATTTATTTTACTTCCTATCATATATATATATATATATTTACTTTACAACATGTATTTATTCATTTAAAGTTTAATAAAATTTATTTTCTATTTGAAGCTTTATATAAATGAAGTTTTTTGGGAGGCTAGTGATATTTATATATATATATATATATATATACACATGCAGTATCATGTGTAACTCAAGGAACTTCAAAATACAAACAGGCATGGTACTGTGTTAAAATCTTTTTTCAAACAAATGTATGAACTTTTTTTGGTTAATTTAACCCTTTAAGTTGCATTGCATCCAGATGCACCCTACTTTAGTATTTTACTGTCTAACGCCACAGGATTTTACTAGTCAAGTGGAGCCACTCAATGGGTTAAAGCATAAAAAGAGTTCTAAAATCACGAGCCGCGCAATGTTTTAGAAAACAATAATCTAACTAATCTGGACGTTTTTGACAGCCATATGCAATGGTCACATCGCAAACATTGGAACATGGTTTGTGCAACAATTTTCTCAAAAATAGACGCTGGATGGTATATTATGAGCAACATAAGCTTTCGTATTATTAGTGATGAATTAAGTCATTTCAACAGCAATGACGTATTGAAATTTTCTTAGCCCAATCATCGCTTTACAACCTAAAGAAAGACTGTGCCCCCCCCAAAAAAAAAACTTGTGCTGTTTGATTAAATGTAACAAAAACTACAAAAGCTACTATACTTGAATGTTTTATTGCATCCATAAAGGACTAACTTAGATTTTGATATGTAACATTTGAATACCCCCCCATATATGAGTCCCCCCGTCTATATGCCCTACAAAAAACTCTTAAGAACGAATATGAGCCCATCCTCGTTCCCAGTGTCTCACCTCCGCTCACCCCCTGCTCCAGAGAGACGTTACAAATTTTACAACTGTATGTTATACAGATGGTACATTACTGCTATCAATATAAACTAAGAATCTGTTTGAAATGTAACACTGCTTGTAGTCTTGCTACTCCACTCTCTTGTTGTTCCTGATAGTTGTATTTATTCTCATAAATTAAGTTATGTTATTGTATATTTATACAGTATTTGTAAAATTGAGCCCACAGTAATTGGTTTTTTATACTGTTGTGATGACACTGCCACTCTTTTGTGATAAAGATATCATAAATTCATATCATATCTCAAAAATTAGGTGGGCACCCATTTATAGAAAATCATGAATAGAAACAAAAATCCTAAATCATGCCTACTAAAAACTTCAAATTCCTATCAACATAGCATGAGGTTGTTTCAGATAAATATATATTACAGAAAATCTATTTTTCCTATATTACAAATTTAATTTAAGTATGTTTTTGTCATTGAGAAAGGATTGAGAAATAATGCAGGAAATATTTAATGCTTGCATATTTTCTTTGCCTTGAATGGGTCGTTCCAGAATAGATCCATACTCCCCACACAGAGGAAATTTCTGCCGTCCGGAGGGGGAGGGGACAAAAAATTGTTTCTGATAATAGAAATTATTATACATTTAATATGTATTCTCGTTTCTAATCATTCAGCGACGGGCTTATATAATTCAGCCAATTTAAACCAATCAGCGATCAGTTTACATCAATTGTTTACATCGTGCCCGCATCTAACCTGCGAACGGGCATACTTTAGCCTCGTCAGGCCTCGTGTATAAATCGTGTTATAAATCTTATCCTCATCTGGTAAGTAGTCAAATACCACATATTATATATTTAAATACAGCCAATTGCAGTTGAGCTTGCAGCTTGCATTTTAAACGCGTTGTTGCATCGTTGAAAAGTATGCGTTCATTCCTTGGAAACACGCCGTTGCTAGGGGCGTAACGTGAACTTTTGGCGGCATTGGCGCGCGTTGTAACGACGTAAACATGTTTTTCTATTCTTGGCGTTGACGAATTAAATTAGATTTTGTCACATTAAATTAGATTTTGTCACAAAACCGACCAGGGAGTTCTAATTTGACTGCAGGCACTCTAAAAATACGTTACTGTTCCGTCGCAGGCTTAAGCGGCGTTTTTACAATATATTTAACTCGTTATACGTTTGTTTGCACGCCGTTAAGAAGTTCAACAATGCCCGCCAAAAGTTCACGTTACGCCCCTAGCAACGGCGTGTTTCTAAGGAATGAATGCATACTTTTCAACGATATAACAACGCGTTTAAAATGCAAGCTCAACTGCAATTGGCTGTACCAAATTTGTGCAAATATATGTCCCACATATTTTATAATACACAAGTTCGGCAAATATTTACTATACTATCTATAGTTAATATTGCCGTATCTTCGGCGTATAGTTTACATGGAATGCACTCTGGAATTTTTTTATTAATATATTACACTTTATAAAATATTGGATATTTTCGAGGATATTTTAAGCCATTTATCAACATAGTTCACAAAAAGATTTATACAGTATTAAAAACAATCCTTCTGTAATATTTTAAACAGTGAAAACATTCTCAGGAGATATTGAATTAAATCCTGGTCCTGTATTTCTGTATATTGACTCCATAACTCTGTTCAAAACAACAGTCCAACTATAAAGCTGTCATGAAATGTAGTGTTAGAGCAAAGGTTGAAGATGCTATCAGTTAAAATACTTATACATTTTGGTTTTACACATTAGAGTTAATTAAACAAAATTGTTTACAAACATTTTCAAATAAAAGAATCCTCACCCTCCCGATCCTCATTACATTGTCATTTTGCTTTCTAACATAAATATTTTTTTCTTTAGAGATTAATACAAGAATGAAGAATAAATGTACTGGAATTGGCTGGATAATTTTGTCAGCACAACCAACTTGCAAGACAATCTTACCTAAATTCATTAGTATGGAAAATAACTTAACAGCTACAATGAATAATCATATATTATATGGTGGATTTGATCAATATGGCACACAATGTACAAAACTAAACTTGTGATACCTTCTACTCAAACCGATAATCTCCCACAACACAATTGTTTTTGTGTGAATGTGCTGTACGTGTTAAACCGAACAGTGTGCTATATCATTAATTAACTGTGCACAGAACTGGAATTTAATTATATACTTCACTCATGACCTTCAAAACATTCTCAATTATTCAGTGGTCTTTGACATGTTCACCAAATATTTTGTGCATGTTACTCAACAGTTAACATTGGCAAGTGTAAACAACAAGTGACATAACTTTTGCTTCATATGATTACAATAAAGTTTTGAAAATTTGATGAGTATGGATTGAATTGACAGGTGACAGTTTACTAAATAGCCAGCTGTATAGACACTTTGAATATTGTTTGCATGAAATTTTTATTTCCTGACTGCATAATTATCTGTTACAATCATAATCACATTATAAAGTTAGTTAAATTTTCTTGGTGTGGGGGAGGGGGTAGCACTTGCCGTGCTGCACTGCCCGCTGTGTACAGCCCTGTTTTAAATCTTATCTGCTATTATAATAAGTGATGAAATATTTCAATTGTCTCATGTCATCTTCATTATTCAGTTTCTTTCAAGAAAATACAAAATGTGAATTAAGTTTTTTCGCAGATACATGTACGCGGTCGCGTACCTATTTTTGTATCTGCGAAGCAGATATATATGCTATCGCAAACGTGCCGTGACCGTACCGTACCGTACCGTATCCCTAGCCATTCAGCGACGGGCTTATATAATTCAGGCAATTTATGCCAATTTAAGCCAATCAGCGATTCGTTTACATCAATTGTTTACATCGTGCCCGCTGATCTAACCTGCGAACGGGCATACTTTAGCCTCGTCAGGCCTCGTGTATAAATCGTGTTTATATTCTTTCAAAAATATCTTGATATTTTTATCAATTTATCTTGAATTGGCTGTCTTTTGCGATATTATTCCGAAGTTATTTATCAACATGGAATCTTATCCTCATCTGGTAAGTAGTCAAATACCACATATTATATATTTAAATACCAAATTTGTGCAAATATATGTCCCACATATTTTACAATATATGAGTTCGCCAGTTCGGCAAATATTTACTATACTATCTATAGTTAAATATTGCCGTATCTTCGGCGTAGAGTTTACATGGAATGCACTCTGGAATTTTTTATTAATATATTACACTGTATAAAATATTGGATATTTTCGAGGATATTTTAAGCCATTTATCAACATAGTTCACAAAAAGATTTATACAGTATTAAAAACAATCCTTCTGTGACTTCTGTAATATTTTAAACAGTGAAAACATTTTCAGGAGATATTGAATTAAATCCTGGTCCTGTATTTCTGTATATTGACTACTCCATAACTCTGTTCAAAACAACAGTCCAACTATAAAGCTGTCATCAAATGTAGTGTTAGAGCAAAGGTTGAAGATGTTATCAGTTAAAATACTTATGCATTTTGGTTTTACACATTAGAGTTAATTAAACAAAATTTTTACAAACATTTTCAAATAAAAGAATCCTCACCCTCCCGAGCCTCATTACATTGTCATTTTGCTTTCTAACATAAATATTTTTCTTTAGAGATTAATACAAGAATGAAGAATGAATGTGCTGGATATTGGCTGGATAATTTTGTCAGAACAACCAACTTGCAAGACAATCTTACCTAAATTCATTGTTATGGAAAATAACTTAACAGCTACAATGAATAATCATATATATTATATGGTGGATTTGATCAATGGCACACAATGTACAAAACTAAACTTGTGATACCTTCTACTCAAACCGATAATCTCCCACAACACGATTGTTTTTGTGTGAATGTGCTGTACGTGTTAAACCGAACAGTGTGGTATATCATTAACTGTGCACAGAACTGGAATTTAATTATACACTTCACTCATGACCTTCAAAACATTCTCAATTATTCAGTGGTCTTCGACATGTTCACCAAATATTTTGTGTATGTTACTCAACAGTTAACATTGGCAAGTATAAACAACAAGTGACATAACTTTTGCTTCATATGATTACAATAAAGTTTTGAAAATTTGATGAGTATGGATTGAATTGACAG